TTTTTTTTTTTTTTTTTTTTTTTTTTTTTTCATACGTTTTGTTCTATCTATCAGATCTATCATGTTCATCCGTAGGATTTATCCGAAAATTATGTACAAGTGGACACGTTTTTTGCGAGGAATCGCTTCGTGCTCGCTTGTACCTATACATACATACATACATACATACGTACATACATACATACGTACGGTACATACCATACCATACGTAGTATATACTTGTATAAACGGATATACTCTGTACATGTACATATATACATATATTTCTTATTATCGGTATTGCTTTTGTTCCCTTTATTTTATTCAAGGATTCAAGTTATCAATTTAAAGTTGTGTGTATGTGTATGCACTCAATGCACGCCGAAATTACCGTATTATCAACGGTAATAATGACTTGGCGCGGAAATTGGTGGTTATGTCGGCACATGCGCGTGCACGTTCAGCAATGACGTGTACAATGACGAAGCGTTTTAAATCGCTTTACTCGAAATTAGAAATTCATCGTTTTTTTGGCAATCATGCCGCTTTACTCGACATTACACCATTCTTTTGGCAATTAGCTACATACGCATGTTCTTTCAGATTTGCTGCGGAAGATACGGATACGCACGATACGTGTTATACATACAGCAGTGGAAAAGTTAGTTGAAAATCGGTAATTACTTCATCGAAATGGAGATTCTTACCCGGTGGTAGCCGTAGTTGGCGCGTACCAACCCGGTTGTCGACGCATCTGCGTGGGATTGCTAGCATGCTGGGGAGTTCTGGGGATGTCGCTTCCTCGAGCGAAAACAGGGGTCTCTGGAAGCGAACAAGAGGTTTGCATTCCGCTTGTACCGGTCACAATGTTACCGGTGATTCCTGCGCTGCTACTGCTACAAGCTCCATTGTTGTTAGCTCCATTTGCGCTAGTGTTGTTGGCACATCCGCCATTCCCAACAGAGGAACACGGCTCTGCCGATGGCGAGTGTCTCTTGGTGAAGGGTCGTCGTCGCGAGGGTCCAGGCAAGTCCGTAGGCAGAGTCCTTCGTTCTACAGGTATTTGCTACGAAAAAAGAATCGCTGTAGAAACGAATCGCACGCAGAAACGACGTCAGCGACAGTAATATCAATAGTAACAATTTATCATTGTTTTATTTTGTAGCGTATATCCAAATGGCTTGTCGTTCTATCGAAAAGATATCTTCCGGGAGAATCTATATTACATGGATGAAGAGCCACACACAACGTAAATACAGTACGATGGTAAGAAAGAAATTTCTCTAAAAATCTCGTAAAAATCAAACTTTATCGATGATTGACGTTTTGAATATCAAATTTAATTTATTACCACCCGAGGTGAAGTAAACTTACCCGAGGAGGAGGAAGCTAGAAAAGTATGCAATTATAAGTATAATATAGTTTTGGTTTTGTTCTATACTTACAATGCTTACAAACAGTGAAAGAAACGTATATTCTTTACGTTTCTTAGCAGGTATCTTATTTTAGATACAAGGTATTTTCATAATACAGTTGGATGAATTTGAAAATTTGAAAATAAACGATAAAATTCACATCTGGACGCTCGCTACTGTATGCAACCGTTCAAACGGTGTAACATTGTCCTGAGAGAAGTCTTTTAATGCAACGTTACGTAACGTAATGAATGAAAAGACTTCTTCAAGAGTTGTCGTCAGGTCTCGTGACTCGGCATGTACGATATTATTACCTGACACACGAGAAATCGCCTTGGTTAAATTTCGTAAAACGCACCTCTCGTCTGGAATTGGCGACGGTAGGTGTTCTTTTACCCCGAGAGAATCCAGCGTCCATGGATCTGGTATTGAGAGGCGTTTGTTGTTGATCTTTCGCATCGGAGAAGGTTTGATTAGCAACAGGTGCGCGATGCGGTGGCACCCTAGGCCTGTATTCCATCGTTCGATTGCTATGATTCTTCGTCTTTGGGACGATCGCCGCGGTCTGACCAACGTCGGAACTTTCCTCGTCCGCTTCCTCGACAGGCGATGGTGGTAACGGAGGAAACTCGAGAACTTCCACGCTCACCTGTAAGCAAATAGGTAGGTACCGGCATCGATCGATGACACTTTTGGCAATTTTTGGTGTGAAAAATCTCAGACTCGCTCAATTTTTATAGGTCGCCGACGGACTCACCTGAAAATCTGGATTCTTCGAATCCTCGAGAATAGCATCGATCACATTTTCAATCTGTTTCTGATCGTTCTTATGAGCCTCGACAACTCCGTTCTGTCTTAATCTTTTCCCCGACGCATAGACCTCCGACCCGTTTGTTCTCCTTCCTTCTATGTCCGTTGTTTCCGGACTAGTCTTAGACGGCGTGTCCGATTCAAAGTCCGAGTCGTGTTGCTGTCGCTTTGCTCCGCTTCGGTCTACGGCTGTGCCGCGATCGTTCGATTCGTTCTCAAGACTGCTCTTCCTCGCCAACGGTTGCTTCGATTCGCCGCTTCTTATCCATCGTGTCTTGCTCTCCGAGTAAGACTCGCTGTTCTTCACGTTCTCAATCTCCTTGATAGCGTCACTCACCTTCTCCAATTGTCTACGATTCTCCTTCAAAGCCTTTTTCACAATCTGATCTTCGATCAATAAATTGACAGGGATCTTGGACGTTGGTCGATGCTCGCTGCTGGGATTCGGCGATTTCCTCGGCTCTTCGTTGAACACGCTGCCGCTGGACAGCGTTAAACCAACGAACCCCTTCGAATAGCTGTTAGAAGCCGTGAGCGAGACTCCGTTACACGCGCTGTTTAACTCGGTATTGGCGTTTCTTGACACTTGAGTCGACGAATCGCCATCGATCCTTCCTTTCTCAGGCTTGTCGTTGGACGATAACGAAGACGACAACTGGAGCAGCTCGAACATCTCTCGAGTTTTCTTATCCTTGTCAGAGAGGTCAGAACTTTCCTCCTCTTCAACGGTCACCTCTAATTCCCGCGGCCAGTTGCCTGTCTCGTCGTTAATCGCTGGAAGAGAGACAACTCTGACCAAGTCGGGTGGAATCGACGGCGGAAATGCCATCGGTGGATCGTCCATGGGCTCGTCCAGTTTATTTTCTCTCAGAAGGCTTCTGATATTGTCGAAGGTGCTCGAGTATCGCTTCACGTCGGAGAATCGGCTCTCCTCGCTGTTCTCGAAAGACAAACTTTTGGTTTTTGTCGGGGCTTTTGGTAAGCTCTTTCGTTCTTTCTTTCGACCGCGACGTATCACGTAGGTGCCGTTCTTGGTCAGTTCTTGAGGTCGTATCTGATCGAGCTCGTTCGTCGATGAGTCTGAGTACGGAGAGACTAGATCGTCGTCGGTGGTTGATAACCGGGGATCTTGCCAGTCGTCGAAGTCGCGGAGTTTGGACGCTGAACCAACACCTGAAAATTCCATCAATTCGATAAATACCTGTACTATTGTAAATAATATGAAGTTGTACGTGTAACAGTGCGCGTAGGTATGTACAAAAAATTAGCGTTACTCTGTTAATAACGTGCAGTTCGAATCGAAGTCAAAAATTAAAATTCTAGAGTCAAAAAAAAAAAAAAAAGAAAAAAAGAAAAGAGAGCAACTTACTGGACACGTCGCTGCTTTTACGTCGTCTCCTACCAATCACCTTGGTACTTCCCGGCGCATAAAGCGGATCATCCTCCAGAGGTACTTCCCAAGCAATGGAGTGCCTCTTGCTAATCGGCGGAGGAGGGGGGAGTAGCTCCTCCAGCGAATCGTCGGAAAATCGTTCCTCCTCCGATTGGGTCCTAAAGTCCGTCGAATTCCTCGTGGAGAAGTCGGAATTCCTCGTGGAGAACATGTCCGAGTAACGTTCCTCCGAACACCGATCGGAAGTCGGGGCCGAGAACCTCTCGTTGGAGTCTGTCCTCGTCGGCAAAGAGAACGAAACAAAGTCGAGGTTTCGAATGGAGAAGGGCTCGGACGTCGGTACGGAGACTCGGTCGTTGGAACTGGCGCTGGCCACGGCTATCGAAAAGTCCGAGTGGAATCGTTCGTTCGAGGTGGAGTTGGCCCTGGAGAAATCGGACGATCCACAAGTGGCTCGCATGGAGAATCTTTCGACGCTGACCGAGCTTGACCGTGGGATCGAGGATCTCTCCGATTCGGAATTTCTCGAGAATCTGCCCTCGCTCGAGTCGGAATCGTTTCTTCTTCGACCGTTCTGCTCGGATTGCTCGTGATTCATTAGCAGACGATCCTCCACGCTGTTCGACTTCATGATCTCGTTGTTCTGGCGTTGCTTTCGCAGATGAGACGTTCGATCCTTGTCGAAGCTTTGTCGATGTGTCTTCTCTGTTTCGAGGCCGTCCTCTTCCGAAGATCGACGCCTGACCTCGCGGTGTTTCTCGATGGTGGTTGGATTGGTTCGGGGCGGGATCCAACCGAAAGACACCTTGCCATCGTACGGCAAGCTGGCGAATTTGCTCGGTGGGCTCTGAGGTTGTGTCAGTTTCAGTGGTTCGCCGTTTCCATTTTCCCATCCGTACGGTCTCTGGTGTCGAGTTTTGGGCTGCGCGAAAACACAACACGCCTACAGTGAAGAGACTCGACCAACAGAGACTTTGATCAGTTTTTATTTTATTTTAGCTGTTAACGTTAGGCTTAAGTTAGCGTGTAAAAAACAATTCGTACAATGGAAACATTTACGATAATTTTAATCATCGATTCAATTGTACCTTTCGCTGTACGTTTGCTGATGCTTACGATTATTAGTTTACGAAGCAAGGAAAAAATAATTTTATTTGGTAGATGGAACAATTGCGAACGAAGGTGTTGGCAAGGATACTCACAAGAGTCGTTTGAGTAGTAACCGTGCTACCGTTTCCGTGTCGTATGCTGTCCTCCATAGCTATCATCCACTGTTGGCGACCGCTCCGACGAGAAGAAGAATGGCTGTTTCTCTTCGAAGAATTTCCAGGTGACACTCTATCATTACGCAAATATTCTATTATTGTTTTTATTATTGTTACGATAAAATTTATTTCTAATCCTTTTTTCTTTATTTTTAATATTTCAGAGTCGATAATCTGACAATTTCCAATTTCCAAACAGTAAAAGTAAAGTTTCTACTTGAAAAATAAAGCAGTTTGTCGTTGTGGTACGTGTTGGCAAATGCTGGCTTACATAGGCAACAAAGTAGAAATGATTCGTTCGGCTTCTTCCGGCGGTGGTGGAAATTCTTGCGCAGATATTTCCGCGAGATCCTGTGGCTCTGGACAATCTGGAACTGGACGCAGTGCTACCAGGGCCATTTTTGCTTTTCGTCCATTCATACTCATGTATCCGTCGTCCTCGGATTGATGTCCTGTTGAGACAACTCGTATCGCTTATCGTCCTAATCTCTTAAAGGTAATTGATCAGTGAAACTTTAGTCCAACTATTTTGTTTCGATCCTAGCAACAATATCATTGGATTGTTGATTTCTACTTTATCTTTTATATTTTCTTTACAAACTTGCTCATAAACGAGTTGTCACGGTCAAGTTTATCCGTGTTAAATGTTTCATTTTCCTCAAGAAACACGGGAATTTTGTTGCCAACGTACGATCATATTCCGGGCAGCCTCGGGCAATCAAAGACGTGCAGTCGCAATCTCTTTTGCATGAAAATCCAACACGGTGTTTTTACTTTCTGTTTACTCTTCACTCGAGCAAATATTTCTGAGGAAAATCGCGACACTGAACTCTCTTAAAGCGGATCTCGAAAGAGAAAAATTGCAAGTGGATCAACAAAGCCATCGGAGATTGGTGAGACCAAGTCACGCGACAAAGTTCAACCGTATTTTAAAATCTAAAGAAATCTGAATTTACGTAGATATCGGCAGTCTATTTATAAAAATGAGTCATTTGTTTTTTGATGAGTTCGATGCTAGTCCTTCACCCGGATAAGATTTGTATATATTCTGTTTTACGTTGAATTGACAACTATCCCGCGGATTGTTTACGTACTTGTGAAACATTTCAACGCGCAAAGATGTATATAATATATTCGTCGTCGTGTACGAAAATATAGATACGAAATATCGAGAGAAAGCGAAGTAATATTTAAATCTCCAGTCGCATCCGCAGTCTAGCGATAAGGGACGACGTACGTGGCGTATCTTTGCCAGAAAAAAGAGATTACATTTATTGCAAAAGGAGAAACGATATAAAGACCCGTTTATTCTGGCCTCTACGACCACAGAAGCATTTTGATATTACTTGATACCTGTTACTTGCTGTTCGATTTTACGTATTTGTAAAGGATCAATTGAGTCTACGTGGAGGAACAAGGTGCATCGTGTACTTTATCAAAACATTTATCATTCATATTTGTCAACTGCTAAGACTAAAACATTGAGAGAAGAAGGGAGGAAAAGGAGAAGAAGAAGGACAAAGAGAAGCTCTAGACGAGCATTGCGGGGAATAAGAAAAATGAAGAGACAAAATTTTACGGAAATAGGCGAAAAGGGCGAAAGAGAGGGAAGGGAGAAGAAGAGAAAACAGGACGAGAAAGATACCTAAGGACGGACTTTCGTCGTCGGGTGTGAGACCAATGCTTGGTTCGGTGCTGCTGCCACAATCCCCGACACCTCCGCCGCTGCCACCTCCACTACCGTCGCCGCCGCCACCGCCGCCGCCGCCGCCGCCGCCGCCGCCGCCGCCGCCGCCACCACCGCCACCGCCGCCACCGCCGCCACCGCCACCACCACCACCGCCGCCACTACCGATGCCGACGCCAACGCCAACGCCGACGCCTCCACCACCTTCGCCCTCTGCTTCGTGCTCGTCGTACTCTGAGAGCACTTTGTCCAGCAGCTCGATCGATCGTTGTACATCGTCACCTCTGGAACAAACGTATCGTTCGATTCTATAGTGATCATGCAATGAGATGTGATCTTGTTTCGACTACTACTAAATTCCGTACGACGGGCCGCCGTTCATACAGATTCGTTCTATTTATTCGAGGTAAATTTTCATCGGTAGGTACCTAGCAAACGAGATCTTGTTTGTTGAATGAGGTCAGAAAAAAAAAAAAAAAAAAATGCAAGGACTATTATCCTTCCGGAGGAAAGGGGGGAAAAAACGTGGCAAGAGAGAGTGAGTTCTGGGTTCTGATATCGGACGATTAAAGCTCCAATCGAATAACAAATTGTTTAGTTGAAAAATCAGCACGGACGCCACAAGTTTTGTTCTCTATTCAAGCAAGTACTTTCGAGAGAAACGTTTATCCGCATCTCTGACGAATCGTTGGAAACTTGGAGAAACGTGTGCTTCGTGCGACACGCACGTTACACCTAACGCTTTCTACAGGTATTGAAACAATTTCGTTAGCTACTACGATTTTGGACATCGTTTCTTTATTAAACACAAATACGACGTGAAAAATCCTAATGGCCAAATATCCAAACGACACGAGCTGAATTGCGCAAGAAGGGAAGGGGGCTATCCATCAATTTTCATAAGCAAACATTTAATTAAATCGAGCGCCACATGGCTCGAGTCTCGCATCGAATGGCGGCTGAGTGGAGAGACGGAAGAGAGGACGAAGGGTTAGTAACGATGACGGAGATGGAGATGGAGATGGAGATGGAGACGGAGACGGAGACGGAGACGTTGCTGCTAGCAGCGATTGGTGGTGGTGATAGTAATGGCACAGAGGCTAGAGACGTCGTAACGCAACGTCGAGGTTGTGGAGGTCGGCGCCGAGAGCTTGTAGAAGGAAAGGAAAGGAAAGGAAAAGAAAGGAAAGGAAAGGAAAGGAAAGAGAAAGAGAAAGAGAAAGAAAGAGGGGTGAGGAGGAGAAAGAGGAGGGAAAAGGGTGAAGCGAGCAAAAGGGAGAGAGAATTGCCAAGAGCAAGAGGGGTCGGCGGAAGTTGGAGGGTGGAGAGGAAAGGACGCGTAGAGGTCAGGGGGAGTAAAGGGGAGTGTCAGGTGGTGGTGGTGGGTGGCGAGAGGAATAGCGAGAGTAGCGAGGGGTAGTTGGCGAGGAAAGTTGCAAGGCGGTACCGACAAACCTAGCCGCGCGTACTGACGCAATGCGGTCTTTGGTTGGTCGAGTCGTAATCGCGATTGTTAATTACCATGGAAACACGACCATCGAGAGAGACTTTGTCGTCGAGATGAATGGGGAAGAAAAAGGAAAAAAAAAAACGCGTTTATTATTCCAACTAATCATCGATCCGTTTCCTCTTCCAACGGAGAGACGAGCCTCTATACACACATACGTAGCATATACGTATACGTATAAGTTATTGTTTCGTGTTTCGTGCAAAGAAAAATCGGATGGACGAATGTTTCTTGGGCTGTTTCTTCGAATATAGTTTACGTCGCTTTTGTTACATACACGTCTATTGTCTTCATACGTACGTACATACACAAGTATAATGAAATTTATTTGAAGTTTTTACGAGGTAGGTTGCACCAGGCTGAAGACATTCGTACACGTATCGATTGTAAAATTGTGATCTCTGCTGTATCGAGACGTGGATTTTCTATTAAAAAATAGAAAATGTGACTTGTCGTTGATCTTTGTTTGTAATTTAGTTTGTAATTCCGTCGAGAGCAAACAAGTGTTCGCATAATTTCAAACAGTAGTGTACAAGCAGTTATCGCAGATGGAAAAAGTGTCTCGTAATTGCAACATAACAACCATCTCTCGAAGAATCTCTCGATTCTTTTTCTTCTTTCTCTTATTCTCGACCTTTTCATTCTGCCTTTGTTCGTTCGTTATAATTGCAGCTCACAATCAACGATCAACTCGAAAACCTGTGTCAAAATTTGCGCAAAGAGAGAGAGAGAGAGAGAGAGAGAGAGAGATCTCGTAGATACGATAGAGAAAAATAGCTGAATAAACAAGAGGACGCGCGAATTTGAGGACTGTTTCTCGAGAGTTTGTTGGAAGCAAAATGTTTTAACTGCGAAACAAAGACCAGAAATCCATTCCCTGTCTCATCTCTTTTTTTTTCTCTCTCTCTCTCTTCTCGTTTTCCCTCTTCGTTCTCTCCTCTCGTTTCCTTGTTCGGCTTTTCAACGTTACCGTGCGGAATACAGCAGCTCGTCGTCGGACTCGTTAACGTTTGATTCATAATTCAAGATTGTAATTGTTCGAGAGCTGCCGGAATAAAAATCGCGAGTTATTCTTTCTTTCTTTCTTTCTTTCTTTTTTTCTTCCTTCCTTCCTTCCTTTCTTGCTTTCATTCCTCGTAGAATCATCCCGATGTACGACTTTGAAAGATTGGAATTTTTGTTCTCTTTTTCGTCAATGAATTGCAATTCCAATTCAATTGATATAAGCGCCAGACATATATGTATGATACAAATGATGCAGCGACACAAAGCGACGAAACGTGCCTCTGTTTTCCTACGAGTAATCTCCAAATGTTGCGTTCACGACGCGGTGTAGAGCGTAGAGCGTATAAAGAAATAATCAATAATCATTGGTTTTGTAGATGCAGATTCTTTTTCGCTACTGTTGAGGGTCTACATCGTTATTGATTGATTATCGAGGAATCGAAATTTCTTTTTATTAGTCTCTCAAGTTTCAATATCGAATGCATTGAAAATTATTGCCGAATACGTGACACTGTGCTTGTGAACAAGTGTACGTCGGGACGTCGCGTCATCATTTAGTCACTGTCGCTTGGGCTGCCATCGACGGCGACAGATTGTATTTTTGCGTTATATTACTCTCCGCAACGGCGGATCTCCATCGCTTTTACCTTTGCCACAGAGAGAGCTTCGAATTTCGCGGTAAAATAATCTCGTCGACTTTCTGCGGTGTCGAGGAACGCCGAGCCGGTTTAGACACTCGATATACATATTCCTTTCTTTCTCCAGATCAGCGCACAACGAACCGTACGTGTGCGTCTCTCCCTACATTTACCTTCCATGTTTCCACTTTTATTTCTTTCGATTCGTTGAACAGAAAAATAACGCGAACGGACGCGTCGGTTACAACTTTGCGTATCAACTGTACACGTTATCCGCGTCGTGCTCGTATCGGGGAGAAAAAAAAAAAGTTAAGTCAAACTATCTACAAACAACTTTCACGGATAACCGTTCCCGGTGGTAATTGCGACCGGGATTAACCCGTTCGAGGTTAACATTAATATTAGTACGTTGAACGAAACGTATACGCGTCGTATGCAACTCCGTAGTAATAATAGGTATTCTCGTTAATTAGAACGTTGGTTTAACTCGAGTAAGCAAGACACGAGACACAGAGAGAGAGAGAGAGAGAGAGAGAGAGAGAAAGAGAGAGAGAGAGAGAGAAAGAGAGAGAGAGAGAGAGACGGAAAGATGAGAAAAGAGAAACTTATTGGCAATATTAAAACAAGGCTTCTCTGGGAAAAAATAAGAAATTGGTTTATCGTGTATCTGCTGGACTTTCTTCTTCTTGCATTACGATTACGTAATTGTATTAATCTTTGTATACGTGCAGAGATATGAAAATTACGTAATAAACGTGTAGGCAGTGTTCGAAAATTACGTATGTACAAACGGGCTCTTTACGAGAAGATGAGGGAACAATTTTGTCCCACACTTTTCTCCACAGTCCTCTCTTTCCTGTCTTTTCTCTGCTGTTCAGCGCTTGTTAAACCTTTAACCATTCGTTAATTTAGTCGCGTCTGTGAAAAACGTAATTTAATTTTTCGTAAATACGCGCGTGTTCCGTTGATTCGAGCATTCGCGTTGAAAATTGAACCAACTCGTTCTAATCGCGGCTATTCGTTTGCGAAAAAGTGAAAAGCAATCCAACGGTTCGGTCGCAGACTCGCCAATTAGCAACGGCACGAGGAAGCGATAGAGCAAATTTTCTAATCAGCTTTCCAACGATGAAATTGTTTTCGCAAACAATGACGAAATTACTCGCATATATATATACACGTATGTGCATAGATAGACACGTATGTAACGTCGCATATGCTCCTCTCCCAATCGTCAGAAATTCGAAAGGGAAAAAGCAGCACGATTCGTTTCTGAGTCACTTTTCAATTAGAATTGTTTACACCCAAAGGGTTCTGCCCTTTTCCACCGATGAAATTCAATTTAGTCGACGTGAATTCGGTTGCAGCGTGTCTCGTGTGTCATTAACCTTCCTGACGAATCGAAATGCGTCCCTGCCGCATCGTTTAATCCTGGCTGCTTCCGTTCCGTTCGTTCGTTCGTTCGTTCGTTCGAGTGGACGCAACCGAAGGAAAATTATTTTACCTTTCGCCTTTTCCCTTTTCCCTGTCGGTTGCTACGCGTGGGACTCGAATGGGTTGTGGAAATTGCACGAGGAAACGCGCGAGATGAGAGGCCGAAGCGAACATGTACGTAGGAGAGGCAGGCGATACATATGTACGTACGTACGCGAGGAAATGTGAGTGTCACTCGGAGGTTCTGCTTGCAAAACGTCTTTCATCATCTCCTTCCTCTCCTCTCGTTCATCGAAGAAACGATAAGAACAACGTTCTTTGTTGTTGCGTGTACGGGATCCGGGTAAAATGAAAATTAGCCTCAAACGAAAGAAATATTATCCCTCTCTTCTCGACTTAATTTCCGTACAGCGAACATGGCCACTTCCTGGGCCCATAGGCGTGTGCCACGATTGCAAACACACCCTGTATAAATGCCTGTGTAAATGTTGTGCTTTTCTTGTCCGAGAAAACCCGATTGCGCAGATATTTCCACGACTATAAGGTTCCTTCGAGAATTCGACTTTGCAATAACTCGAAACTATCATACCTATGAACAAAAGTCGTTGATACGTGCACGCATACGTTAAAAGAATAAACTAAAGGAGAAGGGGTACGTCAAAGGGGAAGGCAAAGAGAGGGTGGTGGACAGAGTGACACGACGGTGTTTGCGAAATGTTGTTTCGTTTAAGCAAGTTGGTGAATCGATGAGTATCGAGCGGCGCAGTCGTTTTCGGATATGGGTCAGTGGTCGATACGCGTGTCCTGCGTCGCGCACCCATCTACGTACGTACGTACGTACGTGCAACTATATGCACGTGTATCTACGTACATACGTCTGTGTGCTATACAGGGCATACTAGGGGTATAATAGGAACGTGTAAATATGTACGTTGCAATGCTCGCAATAATACGAGCGTAAATACGCGCGTGCAAATACTTTGACTATCTGCGTACATACGTGTGCGCTGTATATACATTACATTTGGACAGTAGCTTTGCAACAGTAGCGTTTGTCGCATCGTGGCGATGAATTAAATAACGGACGCGAGAAAGATTGAAAGAAAGAAATTACACGCGATACCGACGCGACATCTTTCGTAGACGGTAATAGGACGGCATCGGTACATGCATCAGGCTGATTCTGAACGTGCGTCTATTGCCGATTACGCGTGTATCGTTTTGCATTGTCACGCGTATTGTTGTGTATATACGTACGTATTGTTGAGATGGTTAGGAGGTAACGAGATACGAGATTAACGTGTAATCATCCGTATCGCAAGCACGCGTATGCTTGATACTCGCAACTGGCTACTCACCACGTGCGTGAACGCTTGCTTCTTTCGAATGGAACTTGGGAGAAGAAACGAGGAAATTGCATTTAATAAACCAAATTTATTTTAAACAAAACCTTTGTGTTACGACACAAAGAAATGGACCAATGATTTCTCAAGCACCGACGAACGTGCCTGAATATATCAATGTGTCTGAAAGTCTGAAAGTAGGAGTGACAAAAATTGCCATTTATTGAAGGTGAACTCGATACACACACGCACACACACACACACACACACACACACACACACACACACAGAGTTTCATCTTCACTACCGACGAGAGTTTAATCCACTCGATGCAAAACTAATAGAGTAGAACAATAGCGCGCACCGGGTTCATCGACCTAAATCGCCACATCGATCGATTAAAAGGATGCGCGATGGATGTGCGGTTCTTCGCGAGTATAGTAGCTTGGGTTGGGTGGGTATGGGTGTGTCGGTCGTACATGCAGTCATACCTTCGTTCATTATTAATCGTTCGTCCGTTGCATCGATGGCTTGTTATTGCCGGCACGTTCGATTCACAGTATCGTCGATAGGACTAGATATTCGTGGCAAACGATCGAACGATTTTGCATACTCTCTGCCTCGATACTCGAGGTATCAAATGGAATGAGCGAGTTCACTGTGACGAAACCAAGTCGAACAGGTACGGATGTAGGTAGAGAGACAAAAATGAAACGAAAGCGTCGATTTATTCTTTTTTGAGATGGAAGGTGAACGTTCGGTTTTACAGTCCGTCTTTTAAACGTCGAGAATCAAGATCGATGTTTCAACGAAGCGAAATAACTTTCAGTCAGGTAATATTCGTCGTAATAATGTAATAACTGGCAAGTAACGAGTGATAAGATCGTAACCTACCAACCAGCAACCTAGCAACCCAGCAACCGAGCAACTTAGCAACCTTCCGGCAGCCCAGACGTTACGTTGTTAACGCGTTGGCTAATGACTTAATCCTATCGAGACCTAACTCGGAAACTCCCCGTCGAGTTATTCCACTCGATATTAAACTGGAGGATCATGTTTCTCTTACGTTTCTGCGTTTTTATTGTAAAATGTATATATTTACGGCCGTAAATACCGTACGGTCACCGTAATGGCAAAATTTAGAAAAGAAACAATAATAATAATATATGTGTGTGTATAAATTTTTAAGAAACAATGAATTCGACGAAACCATTCGACGAATGTTAAAAGTATAGGAGCAATGATCTTTCCAACAGGAGAGAGTGGCGTTCGAATATTAAATAAATAGTAAAAAAAAAGAAAAGAGAAAAAAATGAGATGCGATGTAACGTTAAGACGTTACAGAATTAATTTCAAACACGAAATGTCGTAGGTTCGCTGCTCCTGGGAGAGCCCTCGTCGTCTGTACGTACCTAATTAGATAGCTGTATACCGTACTGGGAAGGATGTACGAGTTCCGAGGATGGACGTAACATTAACTGTGAAGCTTTCCAAGATAATGCAATTGCCAGCGTCTGACAGGATTTTCAGTGCTGTCAATTATCGAATAAAGTGACATCGGCTCTACCCAACGTAAGTACATACATATATACATACATACATACATACATACATGCACAGACCTATGCTTGGAGAGAGGACGTTGAACTCGCTTGCCGCCTTCCGTTTTTCAGCGGATTCGGCTAAAACCTTCAACGACAATGCCTTTCGACTTTCGACATTCAAAAAATGAATATTACATTGTGCAACGACTCGATTGAAACTTGGTGCAATTGCTCGTTACAATACGCCACCCATTTATTACGATACAAGACAAGAACGGGGCAAACGATGTCAATAGCAAAGCATCGTACCATCTCTCTCTTCTTTCTCCTTCTTTCTCCTTTGTCTCCTTTTCCCCCTTTTTTTCTTTCTTCTTTTTTTTTTTTTTTTCTTCGTAGGAGAATACACTTCTTCCAGTCCGGGTAGATAGAACTCTGCCGTTTAATTTCGAATCAAGGATTACTTCCCTTTCTTCCCCCTTCATTCCCCCTTTCCCGACTCATTTTCTCTCATCGTATTATCCTGCTCATCCTCCGTCTTGCTCTTTTGTTGTGTTTGTCTGTTTATCCGGCGAGCCGCGGAATAGCTTTCGCGAATCAATAAACGGCGGGGCCGATTTGCAAGGCCGACTCTGTTAACTGACCGAGTATGAAAGGAGCCTAACGAGCGGAAACGGACGCGCGCGCGTATCCATCTCGGTCGTAGATTCTACGCAATATCGGTACGTAGAACGCGACTAGAAAAGTTATTCACCCCGAATCGATCGATCGGTTCGATTGTCGAGCCGATGAAAGCTGCCCTATAAGTAGTTAATTGGTCTGCTGCCGATACAGCTCTCTCTCTCTCTCTCTCTCTCTCTCTCTCTCTCTCTCTCTCTCTCTCTCTCTCTACTCTGTTTCTCCGTACCGGTTGCTATTCTCGATCCCGCTTCTATTCTCATTTTCGCTTCTTCTCCACTGCCAACCAGCCACCAGCAATAACTGATAATTAATCCGACCCGTTGCGCCGTCTATCCATCCCGGAGTCTCGAAAAAGAGAACGACACTTTTATTTTTTTCCTCTTTTCTCGGCTTCCTCGAAATATTGTACGTTGCGCGTTTAAATGTTTCAGAGATTGCCTGAACGAAGGGATGATTTTCCCTAAAGTGTAGATGCGTGCTACACGCGTTGATACGGTAATTCGAAGTGATTCGAGAACTTGGTCGTTTCAGCACGTTGGAAACACGTTGCAATCTAACGTTTTTTTCTTTTCGCTCTTCCCTCTAGCCCGACGTTGGGTTTTCCTTTTTTTTTTTTTAAATACGCTACCGCGTGATCTTCTTGGTGATTAACAAGCAGCTCTTTTGTGCGTGTGATCAGTGCGAACGAGGTTGCTTCCTATTAAAAGTCCCTCCTTTGGATTTCATTCTCTTTTTTTACATGTCGCTCGAAGTGAAATCTTTCTTTCTTTTTAATCCACCTGCAAGTCCCGAGTCCCGCGACAGGACATTAAAAACCACGCTTTGTGACCTGGCGCACGTTTATCGAACATTCAGAGTTCATTATTCTCGGCGAAGGAGAAGAGCTTTTTCCATCAAACAACCGAGATAAGCTGCGATTGATGTGTAAAATTGAAAGCATTGAGTTGACACGCGTGAGAAGAGATCGGGAATGACGGTAGAATTAACAATTGATTGTCGATCTTATGTCGTCGAGCCAATGAAACAAGGATAAACTATTAGACTATTGGACGAAATTTCTTTCTTTTTTTTTTTTTTTTCTCCTAGAAAATCGATAGCAACGTAATAGTGAGCGAGTAAGTCCGTGTTGCCAGTCAACTGCGAGGCAAGATAACGCTTACGAGGCAAATTCCGTTGGATGCTCTTCCCGATTATTCATAATTAGAATCACGACGGAGCATCCAATCGAGACTGTCTCTGATCAAAGATGCTCGAGCTCGAAGCCTGACAAGACTTGGAACTTTCCGTCTTGTTCGATCGAGTTTGCAAAGGCAAGGAGTAGAGTGCCCTCTCCTCCCCGAGAAACAGGCGAGTATACGTGTACGAGTGTGCCTATCGATTTCGCAGTTGGAAGAATACTCGCCTATTACTACCTGCACCGTTTCACCGTTTCGCCAGATTTCTTTTTCCCCCGTCTTTCGAATCGATCGAAGGCCAATGTCGATGTCAAGCCGATACTCTGACTCTTTCGCCGACTCTTCTGCCTCGATTTGGCGACCCCTCCTCAAATACGACAACGAAACAATACGATCGAATTCTCGAGTAAAACAAGCTTGACAAACTAAGAAATTACGCAAAGGGCATTTACACGAGGATCAACGAATACGTTTGAATCGCGCAGGCTGGAAGAAAGGAAGAGATTCGGCTTTAGAGCTCGATTATTTCTTTTAGTTGTATCGCAGAAATTTTTCTTCCTTTTTTTTTCTTTTCCCTAGTATATGTAGATAGATCGAAGCAGCTGTCGTTCGAAACATTGTTGCGCAAACAATTTTTCCGGCGAAACGCCCCTTTTTCGGGCGTCTCTGTTCTCGGTCATTTGTTCGACAAAGAGTCCTACTTACTCTGGAGCAGGATTTCTCCAGCGTTGCGTTCCAGTCCACGCCATCGGGCATTGATCGCCCCCGACCTGGAACAAACAACAGTTCTGTGAATTTTCGTCGATCTGGCTTTCGTAGCTCCGAGCGAAAGAATGAAGCGGAAGGCTAGATAAAGTACAATTGCTCCTAGAAATTTGTGTCTGAAAAGTGGAAATTGCACAAGCAAGGGGTAAAACTTTGGGAAATTGATAATCTCTTTACGTGAAACAGCTCGAGGGGGTATTTTTAAACGTGGGGGTGTTTCGCGGAAAAGAAAAAGGAGGAGGAAAAACATAACGCGTCAAAATTTCACATTTTACGCAATACGTGTAATAGTTGGACCTGTTTGTACGGATTTGCGCAGACGTGTATTACGGATTTACGTATTTTTATACATCGTATTTACGATAATGTATCTGTTTACGTGGATGCCCATTTCGGGGAAAGTATGTTATCGCGACGGAAGAAGGAGGAAAGAAAGACGAGGCAGAAATTCGCAACGGTGGATCGGTTAGTTATGAAAATTTTTCGCGAACGCGGCGGAACGAGTGGAAGAGGGACTGGCAGTTTCAGCGGTATTACGACCGTTGGTGGTGGTGGTGGTGGTGGTGGTGGTGGTGCTCTTCAAAACGGCGCGGAGGGTAGCTACTGCTTTTCCCTCTGTCCCTTTTTCGGCCTTCTCTCTCTCTCTCTCTCTCTCTCTCTCTCTCTTTTCTTCTCTCTTTCCTGTCTCCTCTCTCAGGACCCTTTTCTTCCTGCCCCTGCCCGAGTAGTATCTGTCTCGGTCCGCGATTCTACTTCTACTCTCTCGACGTTGCCATCATCCCCCCACTCGCCCATTCTTTCCACCCCCTCTCCCCTTTCAACGTTTCACTTCGCAACTCGTCTCTCTTTCCCTCCTACTATCCATCCCTTCTATCCGTCAGCCTCTCCACTTCCCCTCTGCTCTGTCTGCTCCCTTCCTCCACTTTTCCATCCCTTGCTCCACTTCTCCTTTTCCTTCTCTCCTCTCTTCCTGACCTTTTCTATTCAACGGACGTGATTGCAGCTTGCATATTTCACGAGACTAACCTCGAAGAGCGCGTGTGGCTCGTCTCTATCCATCCATCCATCCATCCATCCATCCATCCATCCAACCGTCCGTCCGTCCGTCCGTCCGTTCGTCTGTCTATCCAACGTTGCACCCGTCTGTTCGCCGACACGATCTAACCTTGCACTTTTCGTCGAGTCGCCAACATTTACACCTTCGCGCGCTCCCTCTTTTCAATGCTTTTCGCCAGGTATATCGTAATTTACAGTGGAATCATTTGCAATGGAAATCGCGTCTACGCGTGTCCCCGATCGTTACACGCCGATTAGGTTGTTGTTTAAGCGACGCGTTGAATCTAATCGGACCGGCGCGCTCGTAGACAAACGGCGGCGACTCGTTGGAAACGATTTAACGCGAGAAACGAGATCGAGAGCAACGTTGCTCCCACGGGGCAACGTTTGTTAAACTGACCGAGCCGCGCGTTCCGAACGCTCTTCGCCAAGGGAAATTACCAGGACGAAAGATTCAGATAATAATGGGTGGGTTAGGTTTGGACTTTTAGACGATGGAACCGGCAAGGACGATCGATTTTCTCCATTTGACTTTTGTTCGACGCGACGCGACGCGACGCGACGCGACGCAACGCGACGCGACGCAACGCGACGCAGCATATGGCGATATACGCGGCACGTGTTCATACGTGTGCACGTCCCGTAAGTACGACTCGCTTCGTATTGCTTTTAATTTACAACGTTGAGCGAAAGATTTGAGGAGAGAGAAGAATGACGAAACGCGGGCGAGCAGTTGTTATTTAAAATACGACGGAGGTCCTTTGGTCTCGGAATGGAAAGAATTGCGGTGCGTTGAGATCAATAGCCCGCGTCGCGTCGTGAAACGGAGAGGACACTTTTCCGACGCTTTCTACGCGATCGCGAGCAACAAATTACATCTTTTTGCTCGGAAACACGAAACTTGGGTAATTGTTTCGCGAAGCAGCTCATAATGGAGCTTTCACGGAGCGCATAGTTTCATAAATACCGTAATTTGGGATATGCAGGTTTTCACCGAAGCTTCATTCACGTGACACGCGTCGCGTTTAATGGATCGTGCTCACTCCCCCCTCCCTCTCGCGCGCGTATATCGCGATCTCATTTTCTCTCCTTTTCTCCGCACGAAAAGGAATTTCTCCGTCGATTTATTTTTTGTGGAATGAATATTTTTCTCCTCTCCGTACGACATCGAAGTTTTTCCCTCCCGTTTCTGAAAGACATTGTCATTAAATTGCAAAAAGGAAAATTAAAGATGGCTGAGCTAAAGAGAAAAGGAAAAGCCAAAGATTAGAATGGAAGGGAAAGTGGACAAATTGAGAATAACGTAGAAACGGACGGTTGATTATAGAAGCGTAACGAATACGATAATGCGATAATCGATGCTTTCATTCTCGGCAAACGAATAAAATCTCTCGATATCGTCGCCCTATATCCGATGGTAATCCAGTGGAGGCTGTCACGCGAAAACACGTTTTGCATGCTAAATCGGCGGACCGAATAACCGAGAGAAGCGTTTCAAATTCCCTGACCAGAGGGAAGCCACCTCTGTCGGGAATCGATATCTGGCGTCGTCTCGCCTCGCCTCGCCTCGCTTCGTCTCGCTTCGTCTCGCTTCGTCTCGCCTCACCCCGCCTCGTCTCGCCTCGTCTCGACTCACCCCGCCTCGCCTCGCCTCGCCTCGCCGCGCCGCGCTTCGCGTCGAACGAGAGAGAAGGGCTCGTTTTCGTAGAAACTGATTCGACCTTTCGTTCGAAAACGTGCACACCGTACGTCGTTACGTACGTATAATACGTACGACCTGCACCCGTGTACGTGAATCGATTTTATCAGGATGGAGGTGGGAACGAAATGGCATCGTTTCGCCCCATGTACAAGCGTAGCTACCTCTAGCTATCGAACCAGCCCCCCTCGATCCAGCTTTTGAAACATGTAGCAAGATGTGTCAAAGACGCCTCGGTACGATTCCAATTCCCCTCCCGAGATTCGTGTCACGATCTAATTCAGATTCCATTTCTCTGCCGAGCTGTCCGCGACAACCAGAAAAACCGCCGACCATTTGACCATTTATTTCTTCGCGCAATGCTAGATGCTCGCGATGCGCGGAATACTTTGTCCGTTTGTCCGATTAATCGAAATACGGTGATTGTGAAAACCTCGGAGGAGGAGACTGTGGTTTATTGTACGGCTTACTTAAAACGGGGAAAAATTATACGTGTCAAGTATTGATGTTTGTTGACAAGCACAGCAGACGACAAAGTACGTAGTTTCGTGAAATTACTATGATTCATCTCTTCAGTATTAATTTTCTGTCACTTTACATCTGCGTGTGATAGTTTCTATCTTGTACTTTCTATAAAAAAATAAAATACCGAGAGATCTAGTGGCTGGCGTCCAACCACCGTGAATAACTGCTTTTCGCGCAAAGAATTTCACGATAGTTCGAGACGTAAACGAGAATCCTTACGCAATCGTAGTCAAGACGATAAGTGGAGACCGTGCGAAAGCGAAAAGCGAAATTTCATGCACACGACCAAGCGTGCTTAAAATGCTTGGCTGGTACGCAACAACCCAATATACGTGCAAAATTATCGGTGAAAGCTATCTACGAGTACTTGACTAATCCAATTGTAATTAACCCTAATAACAACAATCTAATTTGTTATAATTTCAATGAAGCTGTCCACGGATGCTTGTTCATGCGACACACGAGTGCATATTCACGTATGTATATTCCGTACACTACATACTCGTTGCTATTTTACGAGCACGTTCGTCCCACTTTGCCGTTTGCGCCGTGACGCTGGCGTATACGCGCGATCGCCATTCTCTCTCCGAAAAGTTCACCGCGAGATCACGCGCCAGCGTGATAAAGCGAGCAACAGCCAAGACGAATATTCACGAATTTTGATTCGATCACTTTCAACGAACAACGACGCTCTGTTCCCTCTATTTGTGGTTTAGGCCAGAGGCAACTCTCTCAGCGCACGTACCTTCGCGAGATAGGTGAAGCGTAACGTTATGTAAGAGGCACCGATAGAGAAAGTACCAAGGCAAACTCTGGGCAAACGAGAGGAGCAGGCTTGATCCTCCCGGCGAAAAGTAGATAAATTCGAGTTTACATCGCGCAAAGTTTCTGCGAAATACGTGCACGAGTGATCTAGCAGAAGTTTTCAACACGACCAAAATAACAATTTTAAACGCGACGCGATACAATTTAATACGACACGATCGAAGATGGAGGAAACAGCCTTGTTTCGAGTTGATCGATACCGATATAATTTTGTTCGTCTGTATATATACGTACATACGTATTTGGAGCGGAGACGTCGTCACGTTGCCATAGCTCTTTTACGATTACCTACGCACTCTAAAATCGCTGATGACGTAAAACTGAGCTGAGAGATATGTTGATTCGAAGGATCTTATTCACTTGAAATGAAAAAAAAGAAAAAGAAAAAAATTTTGTCGAAAAATAGTAATCTCGTTCGAGGATTGAACAAGAGGGCGAGTAGCTGTGTGAAATGCAGGACACGGCGTTCCCACCATCTTCTATTGCGACAAGAGATTGGCATAGGTACAGAGAGGAGAAACACAGAGAGAGAGAGAGAGAGAGAGAGAGAGAGAGAGAGAGAGAAAGAGAGGGGAGGGCAACATCCGCGCTTCATTGTTTCGTCGATCGAAACTGCGTTCCATTCAAGTATTTCGAGTTGGAAAACAACGTTTGATCGGTATCTACGTGTAAATGTAAAACCATCAGCTGTCCAAAGGTTAATGAAACGTTAAACAATTGTCGGCTATTGTGCCAATGAAACGGTTTCGATGAAAACACTCGCGTAGAAATTCAATTCGGAAGGACATTTTCTTCGGGTGGACGAATTTCTTATAAATCGTTGAAAGATGTTGGGGGAGAGGGAGAAACAATCGTTGAGACGAAAATATAATTCACCAGTGGTTCGATCTGTTGGAGTTATTTGGGAAAGTACGAGTTTTCACGTCGTAATACCTATTCCGGGATTTTTAAAGATTTTTTTTTTTTTTTTTTTTGGACCAGGGGAAAAAAGATTCTGACGTAAACACGAATGATTCATCCGTGTCACGAGGAACGTGAAAATACGTTTGTCCTCGGAAAGTCGAAGAATAATTCAATAATACCGAAATACACGTACGTCTTGGATTCGCGTGAACGTGTATAACGTGAATTTTTTTGTACTGCCAATATTTAGAGCCGCTCAGATTCAGTTTTAGAACTGCGCACGTATATGTAGTTTGACGAGAGATTTGCCGAACCTCGTGTGCTAATTAAAATTCGGTCCATGTTCATTGTCCGAATTTTAAGTTTACAAAAGTTGTCGAGTAACGAGAAAAATCGCGTTCACCCACGACCGAAGAAGAATTCAACTCGAGTTTACTCGTACGTACGTGCAACTACGTAGAAAAGAGAAATAATTCCAAGACAATAAGCAGGACTTGAAATCGTCATTCGATCAATGCGATATAAATATGCATTAGCGTACGTAATGATTCATATTGTGATTCGATCAAGTTGTACAAACGAACAATGCGTCAATAGTTACGACATTGGACCGAGCAAACTAAGAATTTAATCTTCTTGCAGTTTATTTGTCACGTACATTGCTAATCTCTTGGTTACTAATTTGAAAGAATTCCCTCAACTTAGTTTGGCAGATGAATTTTTGAAAAATCAATTTCTCTAATACTCTGTATTAGATAGCGCCCGCTACTACAAACACATTTACGAGGAATAAAAATACTAGGCTCTGTATATAAAACGCTACACCGACAAGTAATAATAATTAATTGAGGCGTACGTGTTCTCTCGGAAAGGACACAGCACTCTTGAACGACAGAGTACCTACATGTACATACGTACACACCTACATACTGTATATATCGGTTCTCTCGCGGTGTTGGTGGTCGAAGCGAGCGACCTAATAACCTAATGATACACCTAGTAGTGTATAAAAATGTTTGGGCGACTAACCGAAAGTCAGCCCGGACCAACGGTGACTAGCTCCGTCGCCAACTTTAACCTCGACTTGGCCCTACTGGGTCGATATCGATTTCCTTGCCTTGAACGATCCGTGCTCATTCTCGATCGTTGCTCCGAAAACGTAACCGAACGTAACGTTCCGATTCATTTCAAAGTACGAATCATCTTTGCGCAGCGTTGTTCGTCACGAGGCGCTGAAATCGATGAAATGTTTTGTTTCTTTTTTTTCTTTCGTAGAAAAAAATAAAAAGAAAAAAGGAAAAAAAACCGAAGATACACTGGAATCGGATCTATCGCCGAAAATCGGATCAATCTCGGCGGGATCATAGCCGTCTTCCGACGATCGATTAATTAAGAGGGAAACTCGTTTCGTGCACGAGTTCTATCCGATGACGTCGAGACGGGAGACAATTACGCGACGATGCCGCGTAAACTCGAAAACTCGAAAACTCGAAAACTAGAAAACGCGGAAACAGCTGTTGGTTGGTTATTGCTATTTTTTCTTCTCTCGGTCCGATTCGTAGGTATACTGGCTCGTACGTACGTGTGAGTGGTAGAGGGACGCGGCCGCGCGCGCAGAATTTCAAACGAATGGCTATGCCTAAGAATAACCTAGGTAAACCGGGTCACGTTCAATGTTTGCGTGTTCTTTTTTCGCAGGAGGGACACGCGGCGATGCTTCAAGACAAGATTTGGAGCAATCTCTCCTGCGTTTCTCGTTCTTCGATCGCATCTCGCATCATCTCTACGCGTTTGCAACACGCAGCGTCCGAAATCCCAGCGCACGTACTACATCCTTTTCACGTCACGTTGTGTTACCTTTGTCGTATTCGCGTTTCGCACGAGCTCGAAAGGAATGAAACGAATCGTACGGTTATTCAAAAGATGAATCACCATTCAGTCACGATGACCAAGGACCAAGCTGTGACACGACGTGCCAGCAATTGCGGTTACGTAAGCTGCTGCCGCACCGAGTGGAAGAATCACACCTATCGATGATGACAACCGAGGTAGCTGTTGGAAAAAGAGCAATTCTCCCCCCCCTTGCGTGTACGATACTACTGCGTAGGAGCGTTCCTCTCGATACCGATGTACGCGATGTACCGTGCTGGAACGAGAGCAATAAAGATCGTCGACTTTTTGTTTCGACAGCGACCGCTCGACGAAAAAACAACACTCGCGGTCGACTGGATGGAATCGTGAAAGTGGCCCAATCAATATATTTCCTAGACTGCGAAACACGAGCGTGTCCTCTTGATCTACGCAACCTTTGTTCGCACAGGGGCGAAGGGACGCGGAATTATTGGTAAATACGCGCGTTCGTGTAAGTTGTGACGCGAGTTGACGTTGTGTAATCGATCACTCATCGCTGACGGATCGCTCCTGCTCCGAAACGGACGGTCCGCGATACATACGCGATACGCGATACGCGATACGCCAGCAGCACGTACACGCTCGTTAACGTACGTGCGTTACGTCCTACGTTGACGAGCGTGTTTCCGTCCGTCATTGCGGAGGATGCGGAATTCGAGGGAAGGTTTCGGTGTTTCTCTTCTTACCAAGTTTGCCTTATCCGAGTGTGTTTCACGGGCGAGCAAGTACGTATGTAGTTGGTCCGCGTGAATGAAATGGAAAGGACGCGACGGCCATTTTTCTGGGAGAGCTGGCGATATAAATTTCTGTGGCATGTAGGTCCGCGCGATGCGTGCGAACGTACAGGTCAGGAAGGGGAGGAAAGTGAAAAGTCGTGGAAAACGAAGGAACGTTTATCGGGATTCGTGGTTTACCCCGGGGAACGCGTCGCAAACGCACGTCACGGCGGCTGGTTGGCTCGCGCGGAAGCGTATTTATACCCGACGCGTACGGAACAGGCAGGCCTCCGTTCCGTACGGCGGGCCGAAGAAAATAAAGGGAACGTACCTCTTTAGCGCGAAACTCGCGCCTATTTAACTCTTAAAGTACGACGTGTTAATCCAATATGGCAGAACACACACATGTCAAAACAAACTCGGCGAGTGGCGCGGAATGACGCGACGACGCTGCACAAGCTCGACGACACAGCTGCACGTTCGTACTCACTTCACCCGAACGTATGTAGCCTGCGGATCGATATAGTTTTCGGAACGATTTTAGACATGTTCGACGTGGCTGTCGGAAGCGTAGGCGTTATTTATTACGTGACACAACCGTTCGAACATCATTCTCGGATCAATACGGGCAGCGTGCGTGTCCAAAGATTTGACTTTCGAGCGTAATTCGAACGCGCCGTTCTCCTCTCTCGATCACCCAACTGTAAACTGTAAACTGTAAACTGTAAACTGTAAACTGTAAACTGTAAACTGCAAACTGCAAACTGCAAACTGTAAACTGTAAACTATAAACCTGTATGGACCTGTAGACCGTAAAAAACGATGAACCGTAAACCGTAAGCCGTCGTAAGCCGTAAAACTCGGTAGTTTCAAGACAGGCACGCAGACAGAGGATCGAGGAGCTTGGTTTCGGTGACTGGCAAACTGGCCAACTGGCAAACTGGCAACACGAACCTACGAACGTACGTGCTGCGTCGCGAGTCGCGGCACTCATTGGCAACTCGGTGCCAGGGAAAACCGAACGCGCCCGAACGCTAGACCGGGTATGTAGCCACCCGAAGAGAGGCGCTGCCTCTCCCGACCGCGACGCTCGTCGTCGTCGTCGTTCCTCCGACATCGCAGTGACGCTCAGTTTCGATCCTCCTTCTTCCTCTGCTCCTTTTTTCCATCAATCTCGCAACATCTCGAACACACAGAAAGAACAATTTGCCGGTGCGTAATCGTTCCGATCGAAAAAATCCTTGCTCGATTATAATATTCTTTGCTCCCCCTTGTCGACGACGAACGACGATTCGCGCTCATTGTCAGCGATGACAGTGATCGATCGACGCGGCTGTCGTCGTCGTCGTCGTCGTCGTCGTCGTCGTCGTTGTGTCGCGTGATCATCAGCGGTTGTAAATATTTAAATGGCCCCTAGCGAAAAGACAATCGGAACCCTCTCGCAGCGGGACGAAAGATTACCTGGATGCTGAAAGAGAAATGCACCTTAAACGGTGAAACGTTTGTTGTTGCGAGAAGGTGCCGTTCATGTACGTGATTCTTTCGCATTTAGACGAAACGATCGGCTTTGGTTGCCTGAATGAGTTCGAGGAGAAACGAGCACTTGGTTAACGTATTTGCGTTCCGAGAAGGTGCCACTTACCTGATTGTACCAATCTCAGCTCAAGTACTTGGTTGGGTATCGTCTGTCTTGGTCGAAACGTAGCGCTCCAAGCGTCGATTGCATTACCGTTGATTAGGAAGCTGAATAAAAAGCTACCGAAGGTTGCTGCATGGTTATCGCAACGAAGAGAGTAAAATTTTGGCTACGCAACGCGTGAAACGGTATATTACACGGGAAGAACGGAAGAACGGCGGACGCCGGGCAGTTGATCGTCGGGCAGTTAATCAAGCTTGGGCTGTCATCCGGTTGGACATAGTCCAACGTTTCCTCCGTCTGCCTACGCTCGCAAAGTTGGAGCAAAATCGAATCGAGTTTCGTTGGAACGTGCGTACCGTGGAATTTCGCGTGAAGCGATCCGCGTCGAGGATGGATACCTGGCTGGCTGCGAGGCGAGAATCCGTGAGGCGAGCTCGACGAAGCTCGACGAAGCTCGACGAGATGATTCGCGCAGGGTTCTAATCTCGATATCTTCTCTGGCGTCTGCTCTCTCGTCTAGAGTCTGGAGTTTATCCGTGTCCCTACTTTCCTCCCTTCTTCAGTTCCTCTTCCTCGAGGACTCATACGTGACTGTAATTTTGATACGTCGACAAAATTTGCCCCCGTACGCGCGTGTCTACCGTTCCCCCCCTCCCCCCCTCCCCCCCTGTACATGTAGAATACGTACTGTAGACTGTAGACACCGCGGAGCTTGCACGGGATGGTTGGGGCTGCTGGAAAGTTTCAAAATTTAAACGTTGCCTTTAGCCGCTCGGCCTCGATACTCGCGAATCGTCCAATGTCACGGCACTGGGAAAGGAAATTTCCCTAAGACGGAAGAGGGAGAAGAATTACGCGAATACGACGGGGAGCGTTGCTTACTCGCGATGCTAATGTGAAACAGAAGAGAGCAACGCCGGACGGAGAGAGAGATGAGAGAGAGAGAGAGAGAGAGAGAGAGAGAGAGCGAAAAGAAGAAGCAGTGCGAAACGCTTCTCGGAATGAGAATCGGACGGAGATGTTGTTGCGTGCGATGGAGCAGGGCAAAAGGGAGGAAGAAGAGGCAGAAAGGTCGATGGAAAGGAAGGGGAGGAAAGGAGGTTTGAGAAGGCAAAACGAGACGTAGAAAACAGTTTTACGCGCAAACGTTTGAGAGGAACGGGGTGAAACGGAGCGGACGAGAGGAGAGGAGAGGAGGGAAGGGTTAGGGAGCAAGAGTGCAAGAAAACTCTCGAGTTACAATAGAGCCACGTCACACCCGTAGGTTAGGTACCCGTAGACGTCGTTCGTCGCCCGTCGCTCGTCGCTCGTCGCTCGTCGCTCGTCGCTCGTGTTTTTCCCCTCCATGGTTTCGCGACTCTTTGCAACCCCTTTGCACGGCAGCCTCTTGTTACACGGTTACCCTGCCCTTCCCTCTTTAAGGCTTCGTTTAGGATGGGGTTACCGGTCGTTACGGCCAGTTTCGAGGGTACTCTTTCCACGCGTGCGACGCGAAACACGGGCCGACGGTGCACGCTAAGTAGGCGCATCAAAAGAAGAAAAGCCTCTTTCGCCTTTCTGCCGAAAGGTTCTTTGCTCTCTCTAACTCGGTCTCTTTCTTTGGTTTCTGCTCTATTCCCTCCTCGTTATCCTCTTCTTCGTCGAGATTAAAATCGTCGCTAATAAACTAAGCGAGCTAGGCTTGTCGTCGTCGTCGTCGTCGTCGTCGTCGTCGAGTGGGGAATAGCCTTTAGCTAGCGAACCAACGTTCGTTCGAAAAATGTCGACACGGTCGTTTCCCAAGACGAATCGGACCGTTGCTTTTGTCGCCCTCCGCCGATGCGAGGCGCGAGTAGATCGAATCTTCGCGGAGGTTCGCAAAAGGCGAAGGGAAGGTACGTCGTTAGCAAAATGAGAAACAATGTTCGCCGAGGCACATTGCACGTATGTACCGGTAACTGGTTGAAGCGCACAAAGAGGATCTTTCGTTAACGGCGGACAGACAAAGGAAAAGGGGAAGTGAGGGGGGGGGGGAGGAAGGATAGAGGAAAAGGGGATAGAAAAGAGTTGCAAACTCGCAGACACGCGTCGACACGGCGCGACGCGAAATGGACCAACGCAACACGAAGCGTTACCAAGAAGCGTTACCGTTACAGCGTGCGTCTCTACGTACGTGTGTCTTTTATCACTGGTATGTTCCATGAGATTGTAATCCGTCGACGGACGCCGTATTCGTAGGTAAGATGGACGTGGCAAGACCTCCCGAATCGAACGAGTAACAAGAATGTCACTCGGGTTACCGTACCACATCTTGTCTTTGCTCTCCACGGATCCTGTTGTACGCTATACGTTATGTGGTACATGTTACAGAGTTAGAAATAGGGTTATATAATGGAGAAAAGGGTTTGTAATACTCGCCGAAACATGGAAAAAAGTGTTCTAACAAACACGAGTCGAAAAATTCATAGTTTCAAAGTTACGAACGAGTTTTTGTTCTATTTGAAATGCTTGTGAAAAAATAAAAAGTTGGAGCACACGTCTGGGAATCTTTGAAAGAGCACGCGTTTATTAGGATCTTTTTTTTTTCACGTTACAGCGAGTACTATCTGCTCTAAAAGTTATGACGCTTTCTCCTACGCTTCACTCTACGTATGTGCATACGTAGTATCCTCGGTGAAAAAAGAAAGAAAGAAAAAAAGAAAGAAAGAAAGAAAAAATTTGTCCGAATCGCCGGATCTTCGTGGCGATGGTATTTCGAATCGGTGGTCGACAAATTCGAACGGAGCAGGAAACGAAAAAAAGGAAAAGAAAAATGTGGAATCTACGATTAACGTAGAAAAATAGTAGACGGTGATGGAAAATAGTAGTTTAGCGTGCCGGTGTTTGCGCTCTGTCGTTATTTGACGGCCGTTTCGCAACGCCAACACATAGACGAATGTGAATCGAACGGCGCGGCGCATTGCGACAGTTTGCCGAGAATTAGCTGACAGGTGTATGTAAATTGGCCGAGGGGTAACGTGCGTAAAACCGTGGGATTTCGCGAGTCGGTGATCGGCAAACGAGGTAACAAATATTCGAACGGCTACATTTATTAAATACCGTCGAGTACTACTATTATTATTATTATCGAGTGTTACAGGTTGATGGGGTAGTTACGAGAGAAGATAGTCCGGAGAGTTGGCCAAAGTTTCGCCAAAGTGATTCGGGAAAGGGAAAGAAGAAAAAATAAAAATGGACGGCAGATGAAGAAAGAAAGAAAGAAAGAAAGGACAGAAGGTAGGAAAAGGGAGTTTTGTTATAATAATGCCGGTGCCTCGCGTCGCGGGTTAAAGGTGTTGGTGGTCGAGACTGCTGGCTGGCGGTAACTCGTCGGCAAACGCTCACCGGTGTACGGAAAAGGATCAATGAGCAGGTTCAATAACCTGAAATCCACTTGACGAGTCCGACTACCTATTGGTACGAACGACTGCGTCGTTTCACCAACCAAAATAGATATTCATTTTCCAAGAGTGCTATTTTCCCAGCCAGACACAAATCCAATACCGATGATTTAACTGGTTAAGCTCGGGTCAAAGACCCGGGGGGGAGGGCCGTGTTCGCTCAATCACGAGTCACGCGCGAAATTTCGGCGTTAAGAATTATATGCAAACGGTAATTAAAGCTAAAGTCGAGCGTTCAAGTTCGAAACGTACGCGCGATGAAAAAAAAAAAAAAAAAGTCGACCGCAAACGTTCGCCTTTACAATTATTATCGATATATTATACGTTATACGGAATGCGAGTAGATCCATCAGAACGGAAGTTCGAAGCGGAAGAAAACAATCGAAGAAGAAGAAGAAGAAGAAGAAGAAGAGGAGAAAAAGTAGATAACCTTTGGTCAGCGTGACAGTATCGCGAAAAAGTAAGAGAGCAGCAAGTGCGACCAAGTATAGCTAGATAGGTTGATCGATCGAGATCTCAGGATTCGATCCATCGAGGCGATTCGACGCCGCCGATGATAAATTACGTCGCGGCGATCGTGAAAGAGGATCGTAAAAAATGGAGAATGACGCGGAAGGGGATTACCTGGAAGAGGATGTCACGTGTTGTCATCGAGTGACCATATTCCCTGCTGCGATACGAAACATAGTGGTAACGAAGCCTGTTATTACGACGCGCTTCGGACTCGGGTCGATCACCTGGGCGAAATTATTCCACTACGCGACTGTCGCGACCATAGTGACGATAAGTTGGGCGGTGCTGTACTTTATATTGAACGACACGATGCTGCCGGGTAACGACGGCTTTGGTTTGTACGTTCTGGCGATATTCTCGTCGTGGCTCGGCTGGGGTTTGTCGTCGATCCCGTACCTACAGCTGCCGCCGGTGTTCGGCATGTTGCTCGCCGGTCTGATCGTTCGCAACTCTGGTTTCTATAATATTCACGAGGAGCTCGGCGTCGCCACCACCTCCAAGATCAGAACGTTCTGTCTAACGTTCATCATGATACGATCCGGGCTTCAGCTGTCGACCACCAGCCTGACCAAGCACACGATCTTCATACTGATCTTGGCCATTGTTCCCTGCACGGTCGAGGTGCTCGTTCTCTCCGTTTGCTGTAGATACGTTCTGTCCTACCATTGGGACTGGTCCGTGATGGCTGGGTGAGCATGTCGATCTTGCATCTTCTTCCTCTCCCTATTCGTTATTCGTTTATTTATTTATTTATGAGTTACTCGTTACTCGTTACAGGACGATAATCAGCTGTATGTCGCCAGTGATTACCATGAACAGCATCCTGGCTCTGGCCGAACGCGGTTACGGCGAGGACAACGGCCTCGCAACGATCCTTTCCACCGCGGCATGCATCGACGTTGTGCACGTCATCTCGCTGTTTACGATCTGTTACTCGATCGTCTTCGCCAACGGTACGATCCTCTTTACCGCCCTCTTCTTATTTCACGCCTTTTTCTCGCCTTTTCTTCTCTAACGTTCTGCAACAGTTTCCAGCAGCAACTGTTACGTACGGTATCGCTTTCGCGATACTCTCGTCTCTCGTTTTTGATTCCTCTGTGAGACGAGTGCGCGCAACTGTGACCGTAATCGAGTCAACGATCGTCGAATCCGAATTTCAGACAAGTGTGGAAGCGAATGGTGGTATTACGTGATGTCTGTCTGCGTTCGCGACACGATACTGGGCATTGTCACGGGAATTCTTCTGGGCACTTGGTTCGTGTTTGTCCCCCATCGCAGTCACGTGAGTACATTCTTTTTTCCATTCTGTTCGCGTTTTATCCGTTTTGTCCGTTCCGTTATTGTGATTGTCCGTCACAATTATACAGAAATACTCCAACTGGTTTCGAATGATCTGCTTGGTGCTCGGCTCGTTGATGTTCACGACGTTCACCGCGAAGCTGACCATCTCCGGTGGAGGATACCTCGCCACCTTGGTCGCGTCGTTCGTCTGCATGCTCGGCTGGAGAATTCTCACCGTTTCCTTCGACGTAAGTGCATGTCCGCGACGCTGTAGGCGAGCCCTAAAAACCGAAAAAAAAAGGCCTTATTCGCTCGTTACAATCGAGATTGGATGTAAACACGAATTTAGTCCGTAGTCCATATATTTCCGACGAGCGATCCACGTGATTTGGCGGCTGGTTCAACCGATTCTGGTCGGTGTTATCGGCGCTGACATTGAACTCGTCAATTGGTGTCCATCCAGATTCGGACTTCACCTGTTGTGCATCCTGATCGGATTGATGGTAAATCCATTCGACTTTTCGACTTCCTCGAGTTTTCCTCTGTTTCAGGCTCGGGTTGCGAGCGATCCCGCCAATTCGATACCGCAGTTTTTCCCTCTGATCATTACTACTGTAGTAATAGTATTGTACGAAAGCTGCGAGTCATCGCCAGTATGTCGTGTCCTGAACGCATTAACGAATACAAAGTAAATCACAGACTCACTCGCTTTTGTAACTTTGTGTAACGTATTTTATGTACGTACGAAACGTACTAATCGTCGTGTTGAAACAAGCAGTTTGTCGAGTCACTGCTAGCTAGAACGTGGTATCGAATCGACGTGGCGACAAATTCAACAAATCTTCAACTCGAGGTTGGATTTATTTGTTTCTTCTTCTTCTTCTTCTTCTTCTTCTTCTTCCTCCTCTTCTTACAGGGAAGAAGTGCTGCTGCCTATTTGACGACCTGGCGCACTTCGTTCACGTGGAAAGAACGATTGTTCGTGGTAATTTCCTGGCTGCCGAAAGGGAGTGTACAAGTATGTACTCCGCACATACATCGATCAACTATTTCTTTGTTTATTCCTTTCTTCTTAAAACTTGGAAAGAATTTTTCAAACTTGAGACCCGACGAGAGTCAGAATGATTTCTGAAATTTGAAAAGGCAGCTTTGGGACCGATGGCGTACGAACACCTGCGGAACGAAAAGTTCTCCGAGGAACTAGAAATGGCCGAGGACATTGTCAAAGTGTCGGTAGTCACCATTCTGTTTCTGTCGCCGATCGGAGCCAGTTTGATCAGCCGTACCGGACCGATTCTCCTTAGCCGCGCGACCGAGGAGCAACGTCAAAGAGAGCGCGAGATGAGTTATTTGCGAATCCTCTCGTTTCTGCCTACGCCGGTGCAACCCCTGACAACCAACCATCAACAGAACCTCTGATACTCGGCTTCTACGTGTTCGAGAAACGATCGATCGTTCCCGCATAGACCTCCTCAAACTCGACGACCGAGCCGATCGACGAGTAACCGAGTACTCTTGATGTCATCTTCGCGGCGAATCATTGCCGCTCGCCGCCAACAACCCCCGAGGTATCGCCGAGTTTGCCAAGCTTGCCGAGCTTACCGAGCTTACCGAGCTTACCGAGCTTACCAAGCTTACCCAGCTTACCTCGCGGCACGCCTCGCTACAATTTTCCCAAGCGAACGTATCGCATCTTTCTAATCTACCTTCTGCCCCGTGCAACATGACATCCTACAAATTTGTCATTCCCCCCCCCCCCCCCCCTTTTTTTTTTTTTTTTTTTTTTTTTTTTTTTTTTTTTTTTTTTTTTTTTTTTTTTTTTTTTTTTTTTTTG